TTTCCCAAGGCTAGACCAGGAGGGGTGAAATGACCCTGGACTTCCAGAGCCAGGGCCCACAGGGAGAGCCTTTGAGAGGCGCTATAGGGTGCTGGGTGGGAACTTGCTCTGGGGAGTGGCGGTCAGGGGTGACAGGAAAGGAGGCGGTCCAGCGGCCTGTCCCCCTGTGGTCCGGCCTGGGCCTGCAGACAGCCTGCCCATGCACAGTCCCCCCGGCGGGCACTGTCCCCTGGCAGGTACTCACCTCCACAGCGCACGTCTGATTGCTGAGGTTGCTCTGAGGCCTGGGTGGGCGCAGGCCACAGCAGCAGGGCCAGCAAGGCCAGCAAGGCCACGGGCAGCCGCACCGACTCCATGGCCACGTCCCTCCCAAGTCTCTTCTTACGCTTCCACAGCGGCAGCAGAGTGCCACTTAATGTCCCCGACCTGCAGCACCCAGGAGACAGCCCAGGCCTGGCCCCGCCCCGCCCGCAGGGCCCGCACCTGGGGCCCAGGTGCAGGTGCCCTGGCCTCTCCCTCCCCTCCACCCCAAAGCCCTTTCCTTGTCCCCACACCCATTTCAGGGTCTCAACCCTCCCAACCTAGCCCCTACCCCCTCATCCCAGCCACAAAGACCCCAATTCTCAAATCTCAACCTCCTGAGAGCTAGGATTACAAGCGTGAGCCACCGGCAGCCGTCAGAATGATGATTATGATTGTGATTTGTGTGTGTTGTGGGAGGATATTTTAAATGTAAGTTTAGAATGGGCCAGGCCTATCTAAATAGTACCCAAACCCTATAAAGCTAGAGAGAGAGAGAGAGAGAGATTGTGAAGAGGGGGGGATTAAAAAAAACACAAACAACTGAAACCCAAATAGGCAGAGGAGCACTGGAGTGCGGGGCCGTACTCTGTGGCTGGAGTGCGGCCTGTGTTGAATGTTTGTGCAAACCTATCGGAGCAGAGTGAGCTCTGATGGACCTGTGGGCTTCGTGACAAGGACGCATTCCGGTGGAGTCCTCAGCTGCAGCGCAGGGCCGCTTGCGGGGGCCGGTGGGGGTGTACCTGTTGGGCGAGCGGGCTACATGGGCGTCCAACTCAGTGCCGTTCTGAACCTGCTCGAAAAAGTACAGTATATTAAATAAAAAACAAAACCAAATCAAAGCCAACAAGGCGATGGGAAGCGGAGGAAGGATTTGAATAGAAAGGCACAAATCCGGCCACAGGGCAGCCGTGATGGTACTGAGAAGGCTGCAGCTGCGGGGGCCGCGGGGGCCGCGGGGGCCGGTCACCTGGCAGCACCCACATAGTCATTTGCATTTCAAATCTCTCTCCTGGGTGATCAGCCGCTTTTCCTTCCAGGAATGTGTCCCACAAGCTTGGTCCTGTGTGGCTGTGGATGGAGGGAGGGGGGAGGGAGGGAGGGAGGAGGCCTGTGCTGGGCGCTGGCCTCCCTGGGGCTCCGGAGGTGACGGTGGGTGGATGACAGCATCAGAAAGCAGCTGCTAGCAGTGATGGACACCAAGGTGCCACACAGCACCCCTGGGTGGCACACTGCTGGCTGGGAGAAGCTTGGGCTTTGTCCCTGGATGGGCCACCCTTTGCTCTGGGCACTCAGGGCCATTGGGGGACTCACAGTGGCTCTTGGTGACTGACTGTGGAGAGGGGACTGGCAGAGAAAAAAATCTCATCATGTGCCTGGAGGCTTAGGGCTTGAGGTGGGCTCCCTCTCAGCCCACCGCCTGCACCTTCAGAGCAGGGGGGAGGCTGGGGGAGGCTGGAGGAGGCAGGGAGGAGGCCAGAGGAGGCTGGAGGAGGCAGAGAGGAGGGTGGAGGCAGGAAGGAGGCTGGACCCTGAGTTGGCCCACCTGGCCAGTCATCCCAGGCCCCCTGTCTGTGTAAGAAATGCCAACCAAACTCTGGACAGCTTCCAGAAGGCCAAACATACCAGTGTGTGGGAGAGGATCGGCCTCCCTGAGCCCAGGCTCACCCAGGCTTCCGTCACAGCCCCGGTGCCTTCGCTTTACCGGTTTTGAGCTGTGTCCTTTGTTATAAAAATGTACAGGCAGGCGCGTGCTCTGGACCTCGGTGAGCTGTCCGGCGAGCGACCAGCAGCGAGCTCACGGGGGCCCACAGACGTGCAGCAGGCAGCCCTGGGACCGAGAGAGGACTAGGGAGCACGGTGGGAGGGATGTCTTCCTGAGTCCCCGTCCTAAGACCTGCGGCGTGTGACCCCGTTCCAGTGGTGAGTCTGACTCGGCAGCATGCGGGGTCGCTCAGGACAGGAACAAGAAGAGAGAGGTGGATTTTACCTGTAGCCGTTGGGACCTCTTAAGGAACATTTCCTATTTTAAAGCAAATCCACACAATCAAATGCAGTCTTCACTCTGGGAGACACAAATAGTTGAACATGGAAGCCATGGTCCCGGCATGAAACCACTTGTTTCCTAACGTCATCTGAGCGGGCAATGGAGGTTAAGGCTGTGTTGTTCCTATGGTGCCTCGGGCATTGGCAAGGACAAGGCTCACCCGTTCTGAGTTCGATTTCCCCGGAGAAGGGAAAGGGCAGCTCCGATGCCCCCGTGGGCTTCTGCTTCCTATGTTCCTGCTGGGCTTGGAGGAGCGGCGTGTGAGGAGCCAGCGCACCCGCGGGCCCCGCGTCGACAGTCCCCCTCGCTCCCCTTCCAGCTCGCCGGGGAATTTCCCTCTCTGCACCCTCAACTCTCCTCTGGGCCATTCTGCTGCTTAAGAGAAAAGGGAGAACAGAACCCTTCGTGCCACGGTTGTAAAACACTAGGCCTTGAAAGCCAGGAGGAGCATGCGAGCGCAGTGCATGCATCCGGGAAGGGGAAAGGGTTTCAGGGAGACTCGCTTTGTCCTCACAGTTCCCTGTCTCTGGTGGCTGGACGTGTGCTAGTCCTCTGAGTCCATCAACTCACAAGGTGAGGGGTGCGGGACGATGGGGGGGCAGGCACGGGACCCAACTCTGGCAGAAATGCCGGCCAATCCTCTTCAAGCCCACCTGCCAGCCAGACCAGCCTGTGGCCCGGCCCGCGACAGGCCTGTGCTTCTGCCTTCGATGCTGCCAGGGCTTCTGTGGGGACAAAGGGGGTAGCAGACCCTGGCTCTCTTCCATAGGCGGCTTCCTGGATCAGTGAGCCTACCTGCCTCCCGTCAGACACCGGCCGGGCACCTCAGAGACTCAGTTTCCCCACTGACCAAGTTTAAGTCGCCACTGGTGAGCATTATGCCTGGGCATCTCTGGGAGGGTGTTTCCAGGACATTTGAATCTCTGGACCAAGGAATCTGTCCCTGCTGACTGAATCAGGCCACCAGGCCACTGGTGGGGGGAAGGCGGGGGAGGAAGAGGGGAAGTCACTACCTTGCTGGTGTCTAAAGCTGGGGCCCCTCCTGTCCCCGCTTGCCTGCCAACCAGCCACTCACGGGATACACGGTAGCTTGTCCTTCCCCCAGCCTACATGGAGAGCACCAGGGCGAGCACAGACTTGAGCCTATGGCCAACACTTTGGGCGGAAGCATCCTGGGTACCGCCTGGCCACGAGTCCAGGAGCTCGTGCAGGTAGGGTGGTGGTAAGCTAGGCGTGGTAAACTCTCCTAGAGAGAGAGCTGCGCAGCCAGTACCAGCTATTCTGACCGCGGAGCGGGGCCTGGGAAAGGGTCGTCTTTTCCTACGCTACTGGTAAGTCGTGTCCCAGGTCACGATCGGCAGGAAGGAACCATTGTTGGCAGGGGTCATCTGAGGATGAAACCCAGGGCTCTGTGAGGAGAGTGCCTGCCCCTTGAGCTCTGCCCAGCCCCCGTGCCCGCCGCTCTGCACGTCCCAGGCCGGGGCTGCTCATCCTGAGAGGCCCGGGGTCTTCCGGCAGACCTTGATGGAGCTCTGTGTCTGTGCTTGCTTGGGGATGCTGGATGAAAAGCACAGCACCCACCCTCTGCTCAAGGCCATTACCTTGACCAGCTGAGGCCAGGGCTGTGGCTGCCTGCAGGGCCGAGCACGCTGGTGGTGGTGCGTCTGAGGAGAGGAAGTCGGGAAGGAAGGTGGTTTCCAAGGCAGAGCTGGCGGCCTCTGATCTTCCCTGCAGCAGTCCGCCAGGGCATCAGGACATGTGGGCTCAAGGTGGAGAGTCAGGTGGATGCCACAACCCCCCCCCCAACCCCTGGAAACCACAGAGGCAGGGAGAGCCTGATGCCAAACCAAGCTCAATACTTGGCAGCCTTCTTGCAAAATCACTGGATTCCTTTCAAAACGGAGACTACAAACACACATTAACATAGCATCTCACATTTAAAGGGTTTAACAGCAAGGGAGTGTGGAAAGTTTACCCTCCAGGCAAAAAAGAATGAATAGGAACAGAAAAAGCCGATAACTTCTCTCGTGTCTGGGGTGGAAAGCAGCCTCTCGCTCACCAGGAGATATATTTTCCTTGCCTTGAATTGTTTTGTCTCTTTTACTTAGATCCTAAACCTCCTGGGCTTGGGTCACATGACCTTCCTGCCCCAAGCATATCCAACAATAATCGCTTGCTTTAAATAAACGCTCAGGCCCCGGAGCCCTGAGTGTCTAAGTGCGTACACCTGAGAAACTCCTCACCGCATCCCGTGTGGACAGGGATGCCGGCTTTCTCTGGGTCTTCATGAAAAGCCAGCACCACACGCAATGGCCAAGTTTGTCTCCAGCACGCCTGCCCCTGCACCGGGCTTCCCGCCACTCCACCCCTGCGGGAGGGTGGAGGGGGGCAGGTGTGTGAGCGGGGAGCCAGGAGTGGGTCAGGTGGGGGGAGAGGGCTGCGAGGCAAGCTGCAGGGCACAGGCATGGAATTCTCGGATCTCCCTCGCACATCGCCCCGCCCCGCACGGTGTGGCTGTGCACAGGGTGGGGTAGAGAGTAACCCCTCCCCTCCCATCTTCTCCCAGGTCAGGCTGAGGGTGCAGTCCAGTCCCAGGAGAAAGCCGCAGGCACAAGTTGGGGGGAGGTCAGGGATTGACTAGAGGGGCTGCGTCATGGAGGAAGGTCTGCAAGGGGCTGGACAGGATGAAGAGGCTGCCCTGGGCCAGCAGCAGCTGGTTGACGCCCCAGCCCGGGGCCCCAAAGGACAGATGCCCCTGCAGAGGACAGTTACTGGGCCGGCAGCCCCGAGGAAGGTGATCCTAGGGACAGACAGGGGGGAGCAGTGCCAGCCCAGCCAGGAGAACCATACCTAGCCAGCGCCGAGGACACAGAGCACGGTGAGCTGGTCCATTCAATTTACCCCAAAGTCCGTGCGTGGCCTCCCCTGCGCCTTGCCAGGAGTCCTCCGAACGCACCAGCAGCCTCTAGCTCTGGGAACAGTGTCCCCACCCCCATGGTTCTGGGTCCTAGGACCATTGTCTCCTCCAGAGAGCACTGCTCCTGGGGTCTTTCCTGCCCCGTGGGGAGACCCCACCCCCTTCCCGCGCCTCAGGCAGGCGCGCAGTTTCTTCAGCGTCCTGACTTATGCCTTGGGCTTCAGCCTTTTCCACTGAACCCCACCTCCACCACCAGCTCTAGCCTTCACCAGCGCCCTGGCACCGAAGCCACAGGAAACAGAGCGTGGCCTCCCAGTCCACGGAGAGCGTGGAATGTTAGCAGTCTCTCGTCACGCAGGGTGGCCAGCCACGTTCTGTGGGCTCCTCTCCCGGCGCATTTCTGACCTGGGGAGCCACAATTCTGACAAAGCAGCTTCATGGCTGAGCCTGGCCTCCCACCAGCAGACGTCCCCAGCAGCGGACGAGGACCGCACGGCACCGCCGTTTGGCGTTCGGCCGAAGCCCGAGGCCTGCAGCACCTCGGGCTATGTGGAACGGTGCCCACGCTGGGAGCTGATGTTCCAGTGGGTCCCCACTGCCCGGACTGCCGCCCTGTGGACGAAGCTTCCAGAACATGAACTCAGACAGATTCAGACCAGAGCGGCCAGGTCATTTTCTGACCGCTTGTGTAGTCTGGAAGCTTCTCTTTATCTTTTGTGGCTGGTCCCACTCACGAGGGAGGAAACCAGACTGGGTGTTCTCTGGACTGCGTTCCCAGCGTCTCCAGCCATGGTCCTCCCGAGGCACACGCGTCGCTTGCCGACGCTGGCTGTTACACACGTAGCCCACCCAGGACTTAACCGGGCTCACGTGTCTGCTTTTTAGCTGTGCTCCAGAATGTCAGACCTGACAAATTCCTCTGGGAGTGTGTGTTCTACAATCTTGACAGTAGCAAGCTCCAAGTCAATCACAAGCTTGTTAAAGGCCAGAGAAACAGTCAATGGTAAGAGTCTGGACAGACAGACAGAGAGCAGACGGCCCAGAGATGGATATGGAATTCCTGCAGACAGAAGGCAGCGAGGGAGGGCTGGGAAGGTGGCTCAGTGGTAGAGTGCTAGCCTCTGGCATGCATGAAGCCCTGGGTTTGATTCCTCAGCACCACATACACAGAAAATGCCAGAAGTGGTGCTGTGGCTCGAGTGGTAGAGCCTTGTGCAAAAAGAAGCTCAGGGATAATGCCCAGGCCCTGAGTTCAAGCCCCAGGACTGGGGGGGACCCACCAGGGAAAATAGCCTACCATCCAGAGACCAGCCAAGGAAACCGACCCACCATCTACAGACAGCACCCTACCAGCAGCCTGCCAGCCACAGCGGCCAGCCTGCTGCCTACCAGGCAGACCCACAGGATGCGGGCGCCCCACAGCGACCGTCCTGGGCCGACTGGACCTGACAGGAGCCCTCGCCGCCCCCTTAGGGGGTTCTCACTCAAGTCTACAGTTAACCGGGCTAGACTCCACGTTTCCTGTCCAGCAGGCAAACACAGGTGGCTTCCACCCCCATTTGCCAGCTCCACCTCTCCGGTGAAGTGGGCCTCAGAGGCTCTGGGGCACCCGCCCCGCATCGGGTACAGTGTTCCGGGTTGCGGGCAGCCTGGGCTGATTGCCTTCTGATGATTTTATCTAGCGTGCCCCCCCCCCGGGCGAAGACCCCATCCTGACTCAGGATGGTTCTTCCTCTTTCTGTATAAGTCTGGAAGGCGCTCCGCTCCTGGGGGAGGATCCTGTCCACCATGTGTTTTCATGTCATGGCTGGGTGTCCCCACGTGTGAGAAGACTTTACATTTGTCAAGGAGGCCGCACCTTGCCTCCATCAGGGGTGCAAAGACAATTCAAAACCCTTCTGCTTCTACCATGTCAGAACGGTTTGGCAACCTGACACTTCAATTAAAGACTGGTTTAAACTGGATCGCATTACCAGAGGTTTTTGTGGTGGAATCTTAATTATAATCCTAAACCCAAGCTCCTCCTACAAACAAATAGTTCAGCAACAACCTCAGGAAGAAAACAAAACGTGAATGTCTAACAAGATAAAGTATTTATTTTGTTCCAACAATTGGTGAGAAGGGCTTTCTTGGAAGAATCCCACCATGCCCGGCCCTCGGCTCCTGGAGCCCTGGCGTTCTAGCCTGCCACTGGGCCTCTCAGCCACCGGCCTCAGAGAAGAGCACACACACACACACACACACACACACACACGGTTCTGTAAGATGAAAGAACAGCTTCCCTGGTTCTGAAGCCGTTCTGGGAACAAGGCACACAACATCGGAGCCCCTGCAAACACAGACATGCCGTCCCTGTGGGGCGGGATGTCATGCTACAAGGGCAGAACGCTTCGGAAAAAACCCGTCAGGTTTTACTGTGCATCCCAAACGGTGGACACATCACCGGGTGTTCTCTGACCTTCAGACCGTGAGACAAACAACGCAGGTGTCCCTGAACGGGAAGTCTCCTAAGACAAGTGAAGTCCCTCGTGTGACACGGAGGCTGGGGGGGGGAGGTGGAGGAGCACGGCTGTACAGCAGCAGGCTGGCACGGGGAGGGGAGAGGGCATGTCTGCCAGAACTCATAGCAGAAACCATACCCCTCCCAGGAGATAGTACTAAGACGTGAGGCTTTTTTTTGGGGGGGTCTTGAACTCAGGGCCTGGGCATTATCCCTGAGCTCTTTCGCTCAAGGCTAGCATTCTACCACTTTGAGCTACAACTCCACATTTGGTTTTCTGGTGATTAGTTGGAGATATGAGTCTCATGGACTTTCCTGCTCAGGCTGGCTTTGATATCAGATCTCAGCCTTCTGAGCAGCTAGGATTACAGGCATGAGCCACCAGTACCTGGCTAGGTGAGACTTTTTGAAGGTGGTTAGTCATGAGACTGGAGCCGCTTCAATGAGATCAGTACCCTAAAAAATTATTGTTATTATAAAGTCAAAAGGATTACAGCTATATAAGTCAGGTAAAGAATCTATTTCTTTTTGGACAATGTCACCCCTTCCCTTGCTCTCTCCCAGTTTTTCCTTTTGTTCTTAATATTTAGCTTATTGTTATTATAGAGGTGATGTACAGAGCGATTACAATGACATGAGTCAGTCATACAGTGTCTTCTGCCCCTCACTCTCTCCCAGTCCCTTCCTCCCGTCTCCACCCAGAGTTGTATAGTTCAGTTCATCAGCGTCCAGTGAGCACTCTCCACCTTTTCCCCTCTAGTCCTGTGCTCTTCCTCCATCCTCCCCAACATGTGCATGTTTTCATATCTTGTAGTTCATTGCAACATATATATTAATTTATATGAAAAGATACATAGGCAATGTTTCTTGGTGTTTCTCTCCCGAGTATCACTTCTTTTGATCTGTGTATCTACAATCTGGTATAACTTATTGTATCCCAGTGTATTTTAAATCTAACTTCCACATATCAGAGAGAACATGCACCCTTTGTCTCTCTGATCTTGGCTTACCTCACTTAACATGATTTGTTCTAGTTCCATCCATTTCCCTGCAAATGACATTATTTTATTCTTTCTAATGGCTGTATAAAATTCCATTGTGTATAGATACCACATTTTTTGGATCCGATTAGTGCCCTTTTCAAGGGACCCCAGAAAGATATCTTGTGCTTTCTATCATGTGAGGAGAGAGACAGAAAGGCGGGGGGCCTGTGGAGAGTGGCCCTTACCAGAATCCCACCATGCTGGCACACCAATCTCAGGCTTCTGGCCTCTCAAATTGTGAGGACCACCACGTGTATTTTACCCACCAGCCCATGGGGCTCCTGTAGAGCACAGAAGGAAACGCTCTCTCTCACTTCCTTTGGTCCCGGCTCCTCATAGGGTGGGTGGGAGCCACCATCCTGACTGAAGGGGGCTGGGGCGCTGGTTCCTCAGAGGAGGGCGGGAGACAGTTGTCACGAGAAACAAAGTGTACATTGCAATGATAGCATAAAGGCCAGGAAAATTCCCCCAATGTAGGCTCACAGTTTGAGAACCAGTGTTCTGAGTCTGGCGCTGAGCGCCCGGGAGGCAGGGCTGAGGGCAGTCCCTGGAGGGCTCCCGTCGGGATCCACACTTGTGTCGGCACACAGCTATTTTAGTTGTTCCAGTGTGTTTTGATCCAACTTGAAAGATGGGCTGTGCCTGCGGAGGGAACGGCGGATGCTCACTGGAGAGTTGTTTCGCAGTTCTGCTCTTTTGTCCAAACAGATCAATACACTCACAGAATGTTTAAGAAAACGACTGCATTTTGTATCTGAAGTAGTCTCAAAAGTGATGGAGATGCAAACACTGAAATCAGACACATTTTACATCTAGAAATCCGTGCCAGCAAATCCCTAAAGAACTATCGCAATCTTCTGAAGCGGTCATAGAGTTTTTGCTTCTTGTTTCGTTTTGTGCTGGTAGTGGCGCTTGAACTCAGGGCCTCATGCTCTTCTTGCTTGGCTTTGTCTGCTCATGGTGCTCTACCACTTGAGCCATGCCACCAAGTCCTTATAGCTTATTGTTTCTTTACAACAGTAGCCGGGTGCTGGTGGCTCACACCTGTAATGCTAGCTACTCATGTGGCTAACTGAAGCCAGCTTGGGGAGGCAAGTTTGTGAGATTGTTATCTTTAATTAAACACATACACACACAACCAAGCCAGAAGTGGAGTGATGGCTTAAGTAGCAGAGCACTAGCCTTGAGAAAGGAAGGGGGGGAGGGAGAAAGAGAGGGAGAGAAAGCAAGCAAGCTCAGGGACAGTGCCCAGGCCCCGAGTTCAAGCCCTAGGACTGGCACGAAAAAAAACCCAAAACCAAAATGTGGGTGAGGCAGACCTACTGCTCACGCATGTGTTTATTTTTCTTGTACCAGCATTGGAGTTTTTGCTCATGGATGGAGTTCTACCACTTGAGCCATACCACCGCCAGTCTGAAATCTTGTCTAAAGCAAAATATACTTGCTCTGCTTGGCTTGAAATCCAACATCTGTTCCTGCTTCTGTTTTCCGTTTGAGTGAATGGAACAAGGAGAAAAGGTGCACTATTCAATGTCAAAGGCTTCAGGTCAAATTGCTAAGCCATCCTCTAAGAGCTGCAGTAATGTCAGTACACACAAACCCTTCACAGTCGCCACAGAGCTCCAGCGTTTTTCATCATCACCATGCTCAAGGTCGTTGCTGTGCTTCAGAACAAGATTTGAACAACAGACTGTGTGGCGGCTTGTTTTGGAGCACGTATCCAATTGCTAGTTGAGTGAGAATAGCATCTTTAGCTTATGTGTATAAATATGAAACAAGATGACAAACGGAAATGTAAGTTCCACCCATGTTCCCACTCTGGTTGGTTCTTTCTCAAGGAGCTGTTCTCCGCAGTGCTGATGATGGCCAGCAGGTGGCACCATCATGGCTCCAGTCAGCCAGTAACCAGGAGGGAAGTCCAAAAGGTTCTGCGCCTAGGGTGATACTGTCAAGACACCTGAAAGGCAAATTATGTTCTCTCCTCCTTGTTTTCTTTCTAAACGTATTTGACAACCTGCCTTTTATTGACACGCTTGTGTTCTTTGAGACAATTCTTTTATACATCACCCTGGTACTTCAACACAAGGTATCAATCATGGATTAAGAAGGATAAGGTTGTACATAAGAAATATTTGTGTCTTAATT